GGCGTCTTTTCGGATCTCCGTTGGGTTTTTTTTCGGAGTTCGCTGGACTCAACTCAGTTCTGCTCCTCCTGGCGAGGAGATTCCAAAGATGGCTGGGAGAATCGTGGAAACCATCAACCATGGGGATGAACCATCAATATGGCAATAGTTATGGTTGGTGGCTCATGGTTATGATGATTCATCAATATTTATGATAATCATCAATTAACCCAATATATGACCATCAATAGTTATGGCAAAATTAACAGCAATGGTTATAATTGATGGCTCATCCCATGGTTATAATTGATACTAATTGGTAAAATCTTATGGCAATTATGGCAAAAATTGGTATTAATAGTTATAGCATGGGGATGAACCATCAATATGAACCATTAATTACGGCAAAAATGGCTAACTAATATGCTAAAATAACACCCATTGCCATAATTAACACTGCCATAACTATATGGATTGCAAGTCATGGTGATATTAACACATGGTGTTATATTAACTTAAATGGTGGTTTTAATGAAAATAATATTGATAATAATACTGGTTAGTGATTTTTAATAATGGTTTTGATATTGGGATTATGAGGATGAACCATTCATGGATTCCAATGGGATAAGAAATGCATATAATAATTAAATAATGGTTATAATATAATGGTGATCGAATCATTCTACAAACCAACCAAATATTATAGTGGTGATACCATTTAGTACATAATCATCAATACCCTCTGGTAAACTAACATAACTATAGAAAAACACAATTTTTCATGGGTAACTCCACTGTAAATGGCCATTTTCAATAGCTATGTTAAATTACCAGAGGGTAATCATCATTAGTACTAAACCCAATGCCATAAACCATCCCAGTTTCCATGACTCGACTGGGGGGTCAAGTTCATCATCCCCAAAAACGGGGAAAAGACCCAACTTAAAGACGCAACTTTCGTAAACCCCAAATCGGGGGTGGTTTGTTATATGGGGATGGGTCAAACCCTTAAAACCCCTTCTGTTCACATCAAAATAGCTGGTTGTTATGGATGTTCATCCCCTAACAAATGGTATCTATAGATATTGATCCATAGCCGTATCATGCAAACAAAATTGGATATCATCAATGGCCATGCCAGGAACCCAAATTGGAGATACCTACCATATATGTTTGGCCTATTTTTCAGGCCTAAATGTCAGGGAATATCCCCAGAAAATATGGCCAAACATATGGTACAGTCAGTACCTCCATTTTCCATTGATCTCATGGAAATTAATTGGATATGGGTACAAGTCAAAACCAAGTCAAAAAAAACTGTAAAACCCCCAAAGATTTTTAAAAAAATATATAATACAGGGTGGTGCCCCAGGGAGCGATTCCTCGCTAACTTGGTGAACACAACTCCGATTTCACTTGGGTTAAAACGATAGAATATCAAAAGTTAAAAAAGAGTTGTGTTCACCAACTCAATAGATATCAAAGTAATGGACTTATGATAGAATTAATCCCCATTATGATAGAATATCCCGATTATAAATCAACCAACATAACTGCAGGGGCATTCTGTAGGCTTTTATCAATCCCCAAAAGACTGGGGTACGGCACAAGTGCCTCGACTCTATCTCTCAAGTTCGTCTGGTGCTTGAATAATCATATATACCTTAGTGTGTGTATATATATATACATTTTGAGGATATATAAATATATATTTATATATATATATGTATGTATGTATTTGCATATATAAAGTATATACTGTATTATGAGGATTGATGATGGAGCTATGATAAAATCTATAACATCACCAACACCGTGGTTTGCACCGTCGTTATCAAACGTGGCGGGCCGCTGGAAAATTACGACAACGGGATGCACGTCTACCGTGGAGAGTTAGCGGGAGATTGCCGATCACAATCCCGCAGAAACCGCATAAAGGAATGAACATAGATAGAGGGTTCCATAAATGGTTATATCTGGTTATTTCTATGAGATTATACATTCCATAAATGGGGTTATAAGTACTTATAACTGGTAAAGGGCCATCTACATACATGGAGGTTTCGATAAATGGTGTCTATTGTATTCTATCTATGATCTATGGTATATATCTATAATCTATATCGATAATATCTATTTCCATATGTGGGTTTCCTAAAATGGGGGTACCTCAATAGCTGGGTGGTTTTTCATGGACAAACCGATCTACAAATGGATCATTTGAGGGTACCACCATTTTAGGAAACCTCCAAATGATTTAGGAAACCTCCAAATGACATAAAATGTTGCTTAATTACATCGTCACATCAGGGTATCCCTTTCTTTGACGGTACTATTAATGGTATTCACAGTAGTAATGTATAGATATTGGCATATCCAGAAATCAAGGTAGTACCGCAGCATGTTAGTTGCAATCAACTAGTGGAGTGGAAAATCTTGAGGCAATTTGTCCGTCCAGGTAATAGAATACTACCAATCTTATTTCGATGCTGATAAATCAAATTTTGGGGGTAGAGTATAGTAACCCCCAAAAGATGCCGAAGAGTTTTCCAGGATGGTAGTTCGATGATATTTACCTCATATTTCCAGCTAGGATTTTTTGGATCTATTTTGACGATACACTAGATTCGACAAGTTTCGTTATTTTGCTGACTGGTATTTCAATGGTGTTTCATGAATAATGTCAACCCCGGATTAATAAACCATGGTTTATTAATTAGGGGGGGTACTCCTCCAATAGTCATTTCATCCAATACTTTTTTATGGTACCCCCCAATTAAACAGGCTAATTCGGGGTTTATTAATCCAGGGTTGACATTATATCGAACTAGATCATGGGGTCTATCACCTTGTCACTTTGGAGAATTTCCCTAACCTGTTGATCGGGGGTTTTTCGGGTTCCCTTCGTTCGTAGCAAATTATAACTATTTCGGGGCCACCACTCCCTAATTCATCAGCAAGGGTTACAGGATGGGGCCCCCAAGATAGCGTTCAGTTGGTTTATAAGTGGCTGAATTCTATGGTTTATGGTAGATATAACTATAGAGAACTATGGTATTCATGGGGGTTATGAACCAACTTATAACTGTGGGGCCCCATCCTGTATGTTCATCCGGGATTGGTTAACCCCAAAAAATCCCCATTGTTACCCTCTGGTAAACTAACAGTTTGCTATTGAAAAATTGTCATTTATATTTGATTTACCCATCAAAAATGGTGATTTTCCATAGTTACATTAGTTTACCAGAGGGTAGTGGTTAAGTTCCCATTTTTCCTATGAATCCGGGGTTGACATTCTCCAACCAGCCTCGGGTAAGTTGACATAGCGGAAAATAACCATGTTTTCCATAGGTGAATCATCTGGAAACGGGCCATGGTTTCCAGTTCGCAAACTGTTAAATTACCGGGAAAATCGCCGCAACTATCCCGATTTTGTTGGTTAAACCCATATTCATCACCATTAAATCCCACATGGTGCTACTCTTCAGTTACAAGTTGGTTATTAATCCCCATTAACTACCCAGATGCTCCATGGTGCTGGAATATTTACCTACATTTACCCAAAGAATTGCCCAGTCATGTAGGTAAATATTCCAGCACCATGGAGCATATGGGCTATAGATATAACCCCAAATTACTTTACTCGTGTGATCCCCACCATGACATTTATACATGTTCTTACTGGCACATCTTCTGGCATTCTATCTGACATATCTTCTGACATTCTATTTGGCATTCTATCTGGCATATCTTCTGGCATATCTTCTGGCATTCTATCTGGCAATCTGGCATATCTTCTGGCATTCTATCTGGGCATTCTATCTGGCATTCTATCTGGCATATCTTCTGGCATATATTCTGACATATCTTCTGGCATTCTATCTGGCATTCTATCTGGCATTCTATCTGGCATTCTATCTGGCATATCTTCTGGAATATCTTCTGGCATATCTATCTGGCATATCTTCTGGCATATTTTCTGGCATATTTTCTGGCATTCTACCTGGCAAATCTTCTGGCGCTCTATCTGACATTTTATCTTCCTACATGAGGTCCGGCAGGGAACACTTGGCGTGGATACTCGCGGTTGAGGTCCGGCAGGGAACACTGGGCGTGGATGGTCGTAGTTGAGGTCCGGCAGGGAACACTGGGCGGGGATGGTCGTGGTTGAGGTCCGGCAGGGAACACTGGGCGTGGATACTCGCGGTTGAGGTCCGGCAGGGAACACTGGGCGTGGATGGTCGTGGTTGAGGTCCGGCAGGGAACACTGGGCGTGGAGGTCCGGCAGGGCACACTGACGTGGATGGTCGTGGTTGAGGTCCGGCAGGGAACACTGAGCATGGATGGTCGTGGTTGAGGTCCGACAGAGAACACTGTGGATCGCGGGTCGCAGTTGGACGAGGAGGACGAGGAGGACGACGAGGAGGACGACGAGGAGGAGGACGACGAGGAGGAGGAGGAGAGGAGGAGGAGATGAGGAGGAGAGGAGGAGCAGGCAACTGACATAAAATCTAACAACCCTCACCTGGCATGTGGGGAAAAAAACGAGTAATTGGACTTATGTTCACCAACTTAGCTAACTAGAAGGGGCATCACCTTGCAACCAGCATCATCTTCCTGTCCAGGAAAGTTCGCCATCCAAATCACTTGGTGAACCATGGCGAACCACGGCTGTAACGAAGCAAAGTTATAACTGGACCTCTACATCCCCTACTAACTGAGATCATAAAGTTATAACCTATACATATAAATCATACAAATATATGACATGATGTCCAAAAAGGTAGAAAGGCAAAAGCACCAATCACTTTTCCGCACTTGTGGCGTCAGAGATAATGCGAAATGGTCAACACTATGGAGGGTTGAAGGCACATTTTTTATGTGGGAATTTCAACACCCAAAGTGGCATATCACCAGCAAACATGAATATTAAAATAAAAAATGCAACAACGTGTCGATGTTCCATGATTTTCCTATGGATTTTCCTATGATTCTCCATGACTTTCCTCTGATAAATTCACCTCATGACTTTCGTGCTGTTCACTGGTGATGCTACCTGCAGATCTTCGCCAGTCGCTCCGTTTCACAGCGGTGGCGAGTTGCTTCTCCCACTTTTCCAAGGCTTCCAAAGGCCCAATCCCAAAGCCTCGGGCAGAAAAAACCCACAAAAAAATGGTGTGAGACCACAAATAAAAACATGTTTTTCTTGGGAGATAAATAAATAAATATATATATATATATATGTGTGTCCGGTATATATTTATATAATCATATCATGGGAAGATTGGGATGATTATCCGTGCTTAGATGATCTTAGATGGGCGATGGAGTTCAGTAAGTGATTAATCAGTGGCTTGTAAGCCATTATCACCCTGTTGTGTTCAGGGGATCAAATATCAACACGGTATTCCCGAGTAAACTCAAAGTTTGCTACAGGATGGGGCCCCCAGTCGAGCTCGCGTGAACCGTTGGTTTATAAGTGGCTGAGAAAAAACTATGGTTTATGGTAGATATAACTATAGATAACTATGGTATTCACGGGGTTTATAAACCAACTTATAACTTGTGGTTTATGATAGATATAACTTATATATGATATAACGAACTAGTTTTCATGGGGATTATTCATGGTTTATAAACCAACGTTCACATCACTGGGGGGGCTCCATCCTGTATGGAAGCCATGGCCCAGTCAGTTTCCACGGATTCAATTGTGATGTCCACGCTGTTTGTTTGACCGGTAAAATCTACAAGAAACCATGTCATTTCATGTTCTGTGTCATCAAATATGAAAGTTTCCTGTAGATGGTGATTGGATGACACAGATTCTAGGAATGTTACATGTTCTAAATCCAGATGGTTAAATGTTCTAAATCATCAAATCCTTCAACCAATTCTAGGATTCTGGCGGATTTAGAACATTTAACCTACTGAAGCTGGTGATTTGCAGAGCTATGTGGGTCATTATACCCATGCCACCTGGCCTACAAAAATGGCAAAAAAAGGCACTCTGACAGAATGAGTCATTTAAGACTTACAGAGTGAAGTACGCGAACTCAATGGCCATTTCAGGAACCTTAATTGGAGGTACCTACCATATATAAGGCCTATTTTTCAAGCCTAAATTTCAAAGAATATCCCCAGAAAATATGGCCAAACATATGGTACAGTCAGTACCTCCATTTTAGAATGCTGAATTCCCATTGATGAAGTGTTTCTTGGGTCAGTTAACTATGGAAAATATGGTGGTTTCCATAGTCATGGTGGTACCCCAATAGCTGGTTGCTTTATTTCATGGAAAAGCCCATCTTTCTCAATGGATGATGCAAGGGATACCACTTATGGAAACCCCCTAGAAATGGTGAACCTATCTAGAAATGGATTTATTTCACCTTCCGAGATCCCTGGCTGGCAAAATTTGGTGACATATATGGGAAAAATCTGGGAAATATATGGTGATTTGTGGGAGATAGTCTCTGGATCCGCTTCACATAGCGAACTGGAAGCCATGGACCATAGAAATAGATTATTTACCTACTAGAAATGATGATTTTCCAGTTCGCTATGTAAACGTTTACCAGATGGTAAATTACGACTTCAGCTTGCGTTTAAGCCCCCCATTAAATCCAATTGTCAGAGTTTAGTCATCCTGAGTTGATCCCACGGGACTTCAAATGTTGCTCAGTTTTTTGAGCCACTCCCAGTCTACGGGCGACAAAACTCGCGGGGAAATTCCAACGTAAAATCATGGGAAACGTCAGTTGATTGTTATCCTCCAATCATCTAAAATTAGCCTCTGGGAATTGAACCAAAAATGGAGGTTTTTATGGGAATATTTCTGGGAAATATATGGTTTTACTATGGTGGTTTATGGGAAATATATGATGTATGAAAGATACCCTCTGGTAATTTAGTTCGTGGCTGGAAAATCCAGAGTTTCGGGTCGGTTTTCCCAGCGAACTGTTCACCTCCAAAACAGGGATTTCCCCAGCCATGACATCGGAGGGTATATCTTCTCAGGCATATCCAGGCAGCCAGAAGTTCTCTCCAAAGTTCTTGGCATTCTTCGGATAGTTGGAATATTTGTGATGCGCGTCGTGGACTGCCACACTCGCACGAAAGGGCAACATCTTGAGAAACAGCAAATTCCTAGGAGCGTTGAAAGGTGGAAAGGTCACTTCGCCTGTGGGTGGTAACCTCAATATCTGCACCAATGACAACATCTTCTCACCTGGTGCAAAGTTTTGTCCGTGTCCAACTCTAACTAGACTATAATACATAGATATATATATATATATAATTCATTACATAGATGTATAATTACATATATAATCATATATATGTATACACACACGGCTTGACATTGATTGTGAAACCCCGCGGTCAACCTATATTTTTTCATCAACTAGAACTAGTGGTAATTTAAGCGACATCTACCCGGCTACAAAAATCCAAGCTATTTGATGAGAAAATCTGAGACAATCCTTGAACTATTCATGGTTTTTCAATTAAGGCAGCTGGTTTTTCTAAGCAGCAACCAGCTGGCTACTTAACGGTGACCCAACGTCCGTTGAGGGTGAACGTTGGTTGAAAAAACCACCATGTACCCCTGGAGCATAAAGTGTGAGTAGGTCAAAGGGTGACCCGTGAAATGATCCCAAAAGTATCCGTGAAAATCCTATGGGGTGAGGCTTATGTGGTGATATCACTAGTTACGTTGCCTACAAGTGATGGAAAAGACAATATCCTTACAAACAAAATAGTGATTGTAACTAGGTGAATTCTATGGTTTGTGGTATATATATATATATATATCAGATCTAGGCTAGACTTTTCATGGGGGCACCATTCACCAACACAGATGGGGCACTATATTCATAGGGATATTTAACGTTCCCGAAGAATGTCTTCACCACCAACAACCATGTTATGTCTAGGAGCTGATGAAACATCTCTTGGCGGAGTTATACACCTCGACCTCTGGCTCACTAACTAGTTCGATGTAACCGCCTAATCAACCCTAGTTATTGGACCTATGCTCACCAACTTAGCTGACGAACTGGGATTTGAATAACTCCAATTTCACGTTTGGCTTAATGCTAGATAATGCTAGATATATCGAACGAGTTCTTATGGTTTATAAACCAACGTTCACATCACGTTTGGGGAGCAGCACACAACGGATATACCATCTTCCATGTCCGGAACGGAAGGTTTGGATCGTCCCAGCCACGTGAACCAGTGGTCCAACCCGCTGTGATTCAGAACATTCTCAGCCACGCTGGCCATCAGATAGGCGCAGAAGGTCAGGGGGTGCGGTTGGGTCATCACGGCCTGAAAAAACGGGGCCGACCGGCTGGCTACTCTGCCAAAAAATTAGCATTTATAGCTGGTTAGTATATATTATATTATTATGGTATGTGTATATACTGCATATATATATATATATATGTGTATAATGTGTGTATATGTATATTTATATATAGGTAGAAAGAATGATGTATACGAAACTATCCATCCAACTTTGAATCAGGATAATGATCCACAAGAAATGGGGTGCAGAAAAATACTATGAAAACGACAGACTCTTTTTCTGAATAAGAGAATTAACGGATTTTGTTATGTCTTGTTTGTTTTGGACCAGCCAAGATCATCAGGGTAAAGTTTTAGAGTGTTTCTATACAGGAAGCCAATTCTACCAATGGCTTAAGGCTAGTTTTGGGATCATGTAAAGAGAGCAAAACACCACGTTTTCGATCGGACGAGACCTCTCAAGTGCGGGTTTTTGCATGGACCTTGTAAGTCTGTTCTCATGTGAAAATGGTTTCATTCCCAAGTCGCTGCTTCTATGATAGGTAAGACCTATGGAATCAAGCGAGTAACCCCAGTAATTGGAGATGTGCGAAAGTTAGCTAAGCTGATTTTTCATGATTTTTCTACGCAGGTCAAGTAGGGTTTATGGTGGATATATCGATAGTCATTGCTTCATGGGCATTCAACGAATCAGTGAAGCAGTTCATGTGTGGATAGTCCCAAGCTCTGGTTCCGCCTTCTGGTTCCGCCTTCTCAAGGCCGGTTTTGATGGGATAACATCAAGAAAATCCGACCGAAAATCATGGCTAAAGATCAACCATCAACCCCCTCTGAACATGGATGCTCAAGACTGGTTTGATGGAAAGACTCGTTTTTGCACATGTTTCCATATTTGTTCCTTTAATATCTTGGAAGCCCTTGGGATGCTTCCCCCACCATGTGCTTTCTTGAACAAACTGCTCGACTAGTGCTCAAAACTGCTCCCATCCGCACTGGAAGATAGACCTTTCGTTCGAGGTGGTGCCCCAAAATCCAACTATAATGCCTATGATTATAATCACCAGAAACCTAACAATAAGTCTAAAACCCAACACTTAACTTCAATGAATTTCCCACCAAACTTAGCAACTTCCATTCACCTCTCGTCACTCCGCCCAACTTCACGCGAGCCACCGCAGCAAGGCGGGGCAAGCCAGCTTGAACTGTCGCATCCAGTGGATCAATACAGGCAGTGCTGACGGGCGTTGGAGTGCTGATGGAGTGGTGGAATTTGTGGTAGTCCCAGAGCCACTCGTGCAGAATTCGATGGCCAACCTCAGGATTTTTTAGATGAAACACCAAAGCAAGCACTCACGGTATGCGGGCGGTTGCCATCGCGAAGCGATAAGAATAAATAAATATAAATATATATAAATGTCTATATTATATCTATAAATCATATTAATGTTGAGCTAGGATTAATAAAACCACCGAATTAGCGAAGCCCGTTCCCTCCGAAAATTTTGGGGCAATACTAAAGTCAATTAGGTGCTGATTTCCCCCCCCTAATAATACTAAAATACCCCCCAATTAGCGAAGCCCCTCTGGGATCCCAAAATTTTGGTGGAACTAATTTGCTATTACTCCCTTTTACTTTTTGATTCAGGCTACAATTTCCAGGGTTATAATGATCCTGTCTTAATTATCTTATCCTATTTGGGTTCGTCTCATGCTGGCGCATGTTTCTCATGCCTCCCACATCCTGCTGATGCAGCCAATTTTTTTTGCTGCACGGCTCATGTCTGCTGTCTCATGGTCTCTTTGCACACGAGCAGCTGATGGATCCTCATGATTTCTTGTACTCATCGTCGATGGGGCGGCCTAATCTCGCTGATTCTCGCCTCATCCAGTAGCTCGTGCACTTATGTGGATCGCATGCCAAGCATCCACTCATCCATCTGCATTTGGAGCAAATGCCGGCGCCATATGTTTTCTTATCTTTTCTCATGGGAATCCATGGTTTACCATAGGTTTTCTTATCTTTTATCATAGGAATTTGATGGTTTACCATTCATTTTGTAATCTTTCCATAGGAGCCTGATGGTTTATCATTAGTTTTCCACTCTTTTCCCATAGGAATCTGATGGTATTATATATGTTTTCTTATCTTTTCTCATAGGAATCTGATGGTTTACCATAGGTTTTCTTATCTTTTCTCATAGGAATCTGATGGTTTACCACTAATTTTCCAATCTTTCCATAGGAATTTGATGCTTTACCATAGGTTTTCTTATCCTTTCTCATAGGAATCTGATGGTATTACATATGTTTTCTTATCTTTTCTCATGGGAATCCCATGGTTTACCATAGGTTTTCTTATCTTTTCTCAGAGGGATTTGATGGTTTACCATTCATTTTCTATTCTTTCCATAGGAACCTGATGGTTTATCATTGGTTTTCCAATCTTTTCCCATAGGAATGTTATAATAATCGCTTATGGATGAATGAATGGTCACATTATTTGGGGGGATCGGTTTTTGAACCCCCTCACTGGACCTTGTTGACCTAGTTGACCTATAGGGGGGGGTGGGGGGGGGGTGTATTAATCCGGGGTCAACATTATATATATATATATATATATATATATGTGTGTGTGTGTTTTCAAACCAATTTTATCCCATGATATTCCCCACTGAACCCCATTATTATCATTCCACATGTTCAAACCAAACGTAGAGAAACGTAGAGAAAAAAGTCGCCGATGAGTTCCATCGCCACGAAGTGTTCCAGAAAGCGCCGCGACGTCGGTAGCAGCGCCGCATCTGCACCGCTGCGGATGAGGCGTGGCAAGGTGACAGCGGTGACAGCCACGTTGAACAGGGCCTAAAAAGCCAGTGGAACTTGGTGATTTTTGCTGCTTAGATGCCAGTTAAATCAGCAAATTCATGACTAATGCTTGTAATCAAATGATTACTTGACCTATGGTGATTTTTGCCAGTCATGTGAGTCGTTTCAAAACATATTACAGCATTATCTCCTCATTTTTGAGGTGAGTTCAAAGTGTTTTAATTCATTGTCACCACACAATGGGGAGCTCACAACCCTGGGACACTATAAAGGGGGTGAGAGAATGGGTTAGTTTATGCTGCAATCAAGGCACAAAATAGAATCTATCATGGATGTCATGGGGCGTTCAGAAAGCCTTGTTGAACAAGCTTAGCCAACTGAACATGCATAGTGGTGCCCCATAGTTAGCTAAGTTGGTTTATAACTACAATAAGTAGGACTTATGGTAGATATATCTATAGTTGATGGGGGTTATAAACTAACTTATACAGTAAATGGGGGGGTACCACATTGTAAGGCCTTGTTGAACAAGCTTAGCCAACTGAACATGGGATTTGACGTACACAATTTCTGGATTTAACCCATTTTCCGGATTTTGCGAACTGAAATTCGAGATTTAGGAGGAAATTTGGAGAATCACCGCCAAAAATATGCATTTTAATTCACAAATTTGAAAGGATCCAACCAAGGAAAAACTCCACTGTCACTGGGAAATTTTGTCGTTTTCAATGCGAAAATCGCCTATAGATGGAAAATAAAAGTGACTAAATATCATGAAATATTGGAACAAACAATACCCTACATCCATACGAAAAGTTTGGACTGCCCGAGAATTGCCAGTAAATTCCGTTGCCAGCCCTGCCAGGCCTTAAGTGGAATTGCCTGACATCTGACCTGGACCTTTGATCCAACTGAAGTCAGTCCCTTCATCGATTCACAAAGTGGTGGATTTTCGACTGGGAAATGCCAGAACCCACCAACTAAACAAACACAGGCATAGTACCGATGGCTAAGTTGGTGTATAATTTAAAATAAAACATCAATAAACTAGGGTTTATAGCAGGTATATCTATATATATATATATACTTGATGGGGGAGTATAAAGCAACAAACATAACTTGGGGGCCCGTCCTGTTGTGGTGAATTTGATCAGGTTTCTGGATCCAAAAAAACACGAAATTCGAATGTTCTGACTTAACTCCCACTATTTCCAATTTTGATGCTCAAACCAAAAACAATTTGTGGCTACCTTGGCCATTGACTTCGATAAATTCCCATCTGCCAGTCACCAACATTCGCATCAAACCAGGGCACCATTGGTCCCATAATGTTCCAGGTCGCCACGCGTAGCTGAGTCCAGAAAGGCAAGGTCTGTTTGGACAACGCCTCTTCACGGGAATCCTCGCCATACCTTTCACTGTGGTTGCCCCTGCCCCGATATGTCTGTTGGAGTGTAACCCCCATCAACACACATAGACCATGTTGGATATGCCTTCTGGTAATCAAACATCCGTACGCGGGGATCATTGGACCTCAGTTCATAGGTGAAAGTGCATGTCGTGCTGGCAGGGCCATGCAAAATAACGTCAAACGTTTCTTCAAAAATCCATTGATTTTTGATGGTGCGTATTCAAAAAACGTGTTTCCCACGTTTTCATCTCTTTTCGCTTTTAAGTTGTTTTAAGTTGTATGCGTCAGCATATAGTCTTTTGCCCGATGTTTCGAAAAGGTGTTGTCTTTGTACAGCCATTGCCATTGCCTGGCAATTGCCCTAGCAACTGCAGTTTGGGTTTGTACTCCGTGACTGTGATGGATCAACAGCATGGAATGTGTGCCAAAAAACACGAGCAAAGCAAGAAGTTCCATACCCATGACGGATCCATGTATGCTATATATGGTAACATGGATCCCATCAATATACCCCCAATGTTAGCATATATACCATCCATGGATCCTATGGGATAAATAAAATTGAATAACGTAGCATGAAGAGCGAAGCAAGAAGTTCTGAAAATAACGCTGCATCAAGAGCGTAGCAAGACGTTCCGTAAAGAAAGTAGCGCAAGAGCGTAGCAACAAGTTCCACAACGAGAGCTGCAAGGCGTATGTAGCATCAAGAGCGTAGCAGCAAGTTCCCTAACAAAAGTTGCAAGGCGTAGCATCAAGAGCTTGTCGGTGCGCAAGAACTGAATCTGTAGAAGGGCAGTATCCGAGAGATTTAAAAGAACTAACAGATTTACATATTTAAATTTATGTTGGTTCCCCAAATTAATTATATAATTAAATTATGTATATATATATATATGTATTTATTTATTTATTAGATTAACAGAACAGATTTAAATTTGTCTAATATGTTGGTTCCCCAAAGAGCATGGAATTCTGGGAACCTCTTCCGATTTACTTGTTTCAAATATTGTTAAAGCTCCGGAGATTTAAAATAGTTAAACGATTTGAATATTAAATCGTTTAAATGTGCGTTCATATGTTTAAAGCTCTGAATAATTGAATCTATGCAGTATTGTTCTGGATAATCAAATCCATGCAGTATTGTTTAACAAAACCGTATCTTTAATTATCTGGAGCATTACAATTTTTAAATATATTGCGCAACCTGCACCTGCAGAATATGACCTGAAGGTCCCTCATATATATATAATATATATAGGGTGGTGCCACATAGTTAGCAAAGTTGGTTTAGAAGTCCAAACACTAACATTTATTGGGGGCATTGGGGGGTGTATCTATAGTCAATGGGGATTATAAACTAACTTATAACTGGGGGGTACCACCTTGTGTGTATATATATATATATGGGCTCACACAACCTCCTTTTACCGCATAGCAGGATCATTGTTGTCAAATTAAAATAGAAAAAATGCAATCAGAAAGCTCATTCCCAGAGCTCTAAATGCAATCAGAAAGCTCATTCCCAGAGCTCTAACCCTCCCAAAAACCTTCTGCCAAGCCAGAAGGGTTTCAGGCCTCAGGGTCTTAAAATTGTTTATGGTACCCCCCCAGTCCTTCCTGCCAAGCCAGGAATAAAACCAGGCCCCAAGTACCAATTAAAAGAAAAAGGGCCCCACTTCTCCATTGGGCTCTGCCCTCATTGATCTCTTTCAGCAAAAAGTCACATTTTTTCTCCTCTTTCCACGTCCCCCTGAACTGCTCTTATGAGCATGCTCAAGGTTCGGCAGAGGTTGAGCAAGGGAATGTTTATAAATATTAACAAACCCTCGGAGCTTTGACATAGGGATCTTCATTTCAGCAAGTGTGGCAAGTCCATTGTTAATGTAAATGCGTGCCGTTTTAGGCGTCTGCCAACGGCCATGGATCAACAACCTATCTAATGTTCGTGTTTGGAGAACCAAAAGGTAGCTCCACCCCGACGCAGGAAAAACATAACGAATGAAAACTTTTGTTTAGAGCCCCCCTGAAAACTTCCGCCATGCAAGGAAGAAATTCAGGCCTCAAGGCTCTCATTTGGTGCCCCCTAGTCATTTCCGCCAAGCCGGAAATAAACTAGGCCCCAAGCACCTTAAAAGTCGCTCTCCTTTGGTACCCCCTAGTCATTTCCGCCAAGCCGGAAATAAACTAGGCCCCAAGTACCTTAAAAAGTCACAAGGGGAATTCACCATCACCCCAATTTCCTCGCAAATCACCCTGCAAACCACAGAAAAATTTGACTCCACGAAAAAACTAGGCCCCAAGTACCTTAAAAGTCACAAGGGGAATTCACCATCACCCCAATTTCCTCACAAATCCCCCTGCAAACCACAGAAAAATTAGACTCCACGTCTCTTTCCACGTCCCCCTGACCCCCTCGCTTTGCGAGGGTGCTCAAGGCTCGGTAACGGTTGATGTACGGATTGTGGGTAAACTGGTAAAAATCCTCGAAGTTTATGCATTGGGAGTTTCATCTCTGCTAGGGTAGCAAGTCCAGAGTGAATCTAAATTCGCGCTGATTTAGGAGCTTGCCACCTTCCCTGAGTTAGAAAATGGTCCAAGGAACCATGCTTAGTAAACCTGAAAGTAGTTCCGCCACGGCGGAGGCTATATGGTCGACACTGGAAATTTCCTAATCCCAAATCACTCACCGCCTCAGAAAATCACTCACCGTCTCAGTAGAGCTATTTTTCCCCCATCGGAGTCTACGCACCAATCCGCCACGTTAATAGTGATGGATTCTGCTGCTCCTCGGCGTTTACCACCAAATGGTTCTCCATCGCCACCAACGGCTTGGAACCGAACTTCGTAACCTGTGAGAACGGACTGTGTTCTCAGTGGAGGCCTGCAGTAGTAGGTCCTCCCCTTTAACAGAGATAAAATTCACAAGCTTTCGAGTAAGCTGTTCGGTAGGCACGTACAAGAATTCCCAATGAGGGTGTGCCGCACATCTGAATACCCTTCACCAGCATGTTGACCGTTCGGAAGACAGCCTTAAAAGTCGCTCTCATCTGGTACCACTCTCCACCGCCACAATTTGCTCTGTACGGAAGCCCGCAACCGGTGGAATTTCATAGTGCCCACGCTAGGGGCCTGGAGGAGCAGATCTTCGCCCTTGACTGCCACAAAGTTGATGAGTTTCTTGCCAAGCTGGCATTCCGGAGCCTCCGCTTCCTTGTTGCGCACAGGGCGCAAGGGCAACCGTCGGAGGTATCCCTGCAGGGTCTGGTCGGCGCCCGGGGAGGATCCCAACACCACATCGTGTACTGCACGCAGCTTTGTAAGCCCCAGTGGTGCAAACAACTCCTTCAGCAACCAAGCAACAACGGGCACATGCCATGAGTTGCCAATGAGAGTATGGCGTACATCACTATAGTCAGTTTCCTTTTGTTCGCTTTTTGGAAGGCAAGGAGCTGTATACCCGACTGGGAACCCCATTGCTGCTTCCTTCCCCGCAATGTTAGGGAGACGCCTGTCTCCCACACTGTTGACGAGGCAATGCTTGTCGCGGTAGACATAAGGAGGGTATCGGTGGTCATCTTGCTTCCACCTTTCTAACTCCCAACTTTGACATTGCCACAGTCCTGCAGGGCGATTTCCTGGCTCCGCTCGCGGCCTGGCAGTGGTGAAGATGGGCAAGGGTGCGTTCCCAGGCAGGCAAGATAAGAGAAGATTAGATAAGATATGATAAGATTAGATAAGATATGATAAGATTAGAAAAGATTGGATTAGATTAGATTGATTTCAGATTTAGATTAGGTTAGATAGATAGATAGATAGATAGATAGATATGTACGAACATGGCATTTCACAAGCCCAGAGGCAGAAATTTAAGATGCGACAGCATATGTGTGAATAAATAATCAAGATGAATAAACCCACCACTAAGTAATGAAAAATGGGGAAAATAGTCCAATTTGTCTTGCAAAATATGCAACACCGTTCGTCCAATGAATGTGGCAATGTCCTCCCCTTTGATGATGGCACAATTCCAAATTTCGCTCGATGGAGGGATCTCTGGCACCTGCGATTTAAGAGCAAGCAATGCCAAGAACGCGCTCAACATTTTTTGGCCTCATCAAAATGCAAATTGCAACTTTTCAAAATTAATTTTCACTCAAAAGCGCGCCTTTCTGCCTTCCGTGCCAAACGAACGAACCGACCTGGAAGGGCGAACATAGTCAACAAACATGCAATATTGCAACATGACCATACGGACTATAGGCAACTTATGACTTGTTTGATCTAAACGTCTTGAGCACGAGACAGCAAGGTAATCGTGGACTCTTGTGCGTTGATATTGTCCAGGATGCCCTGCCAAATTGTGTTTTCGGCACCGATTTGGTTCGGCACATTTTTTGCCACAAACAAAGCAGTTGTCAATCGTTGGCCTCGTATCGGATCATCTGCTTTGAAATCAAGCTGATCTTGCTGCCGATGTGCCTTGATATGTGGAACGTTCTATACACTGCTCAGCTGAATATACATTGTGCAACATTGCGCAACCAAGGTGCTCCATCACAGCGTGCCTGTGACACTGAAGTTTCTTGTGGCAAGTGTTTGCCAGTGAAACTGCTACACTGGAAGAATTTGGGTTTTGCCCGCCTTGAACCAAAATGTCTCGGACACAACATGAAATACCGTAAAAACACGTGTGTTGCATCATAAAATGCCATGCCGCATGCCTTTTGCAGGAAACTGTTTAGTTCAATCAATTTCGTCTGGGAACCGTGCCAGCAACATCCAGCAACCACCATACAACAAAGTGGAATGTTGTGGATACCTGAGAAGGGGGGAACGAAAGCCAGCATCCCATCTACCCCTATTTTCCACCAAACTTTTCACCCAGAGACTCTTCAATACATTTCACCCATATACTTTTCACCCAGAGATTTTTCACCCAGAAACTCTTCTTGCACAGACTTTTCACCCATATACTTTTCACAAAGAGGCTCTTCACCCATGTTTTTTTCTTGCACATACATTTCGCCCATATACTTTTCACCCAGAGACTCTGCACCCAGAAACCCTTCTTGCACAGACTTTTCACCCATATACTTTTCACCCAGAAACTCTTCTTGCACATACTTTTCACCCATATATACTTTTTACCAAGAGACTTCACCCAGAAACTCTTCTTGCACATACTTTTCACCCAGATACTTTTCACCCAGAGACTCTTCACCCAGAAACTCTTCTTGCACATACATGTCACCCATATACTTTTCACCTAGAGATTCTTCACCCAGAAATTCTTCTTGCACAGACTTTTCACCCAGAGACTCTTCACCCAGAAACTCTTCGTGCACATACTTTTCACCCATATACTTTTTACCCATATACTTTTCACCCAGAGACTCTTCACCTAGAAACTCTTCTTGCACATACTTTTCACCCATTTACTTTTCACCCAGGGACTCTTCTTGCACATACGTTTCACCCATATACTTTTCACCCAGAGATTCTTCACCCAGAAACTCTTCTTGCACAGACTTTTCACCAATATACTTTTCACCCAGAGACTCTTCACCTAGAAACTTTTCTTGCACATATACTTTCACCCATATACTTTCACTCAGAAACTCTTCTTGCACATACTTTTCACCCATATACTTTTCATCCAGAGACTCTTCACCTAGAAACTCTTCTTGCACATACATTTCACCCATATACTTTTCACCCAGAGATTCTTCACCCAGAAACTCTTCTTGCACAGACTTTTCACCCATATACTTTCACCCAGAAACTCTTCTTGCACATACTTTTCACCCATTTACTTTTCACCCAGAGACTCTTCACCTAGAAACTCTTCTTGCACATACATTTCACCCATATACTTTTCACCCAGAGATTCTTCACCCAGAAACTCTTCTTGCACAGACTTTTCACCCAAAGACTCTTCACCCAGAAACTCTTCTTGCACATACTTTTCACCCATATACTTTTTACCAAGAGACTTCACCCAAAAACTCTTCTTGCACATATTTTTCACCCATATACTTTTCACCCATATACTTTCACCCAGAAACTCTTCTTGCACATACTTTTCACCCATATACTTTTCACCCAGAGACTCTACACCTAGAAACTCTCCTTGCACAGACTTTTCACCCAGAGACTCTTCTTGCACATACTTTTCGCCCATATACTTTTTACCCAGAGATTCTTCACCCAGAAACTCTTTTTGCACATACTTTTCACCAATATACTTTTCACCCAGAGATTCTTCACACAGAAACTCTCCTTGCACAGACTTTTCACCCAGAGACTCTTCTTGCACATACTTTTCGCCCATATACTTTTTACCCAGAACTCTTCACCCAGAAACTCTTCTTGCACATACTTTTCACCCAGATACTTTTCACCCAGAGACTCTTCACCCAGAAACTCTTCTTGCACATACTTTTCACCCATTTACTTTTCACCCAGAGACTCTTCACCCAGAAACCCTTCTTGCACATACTTTTCACCCATATACTTTTCACCCAGAGACTCTTCTTGCACATACTTTTCACCCATATACTTTTTACCCATATACTTTTCACCCAGAGACTCTTCTTGCACATACTTTTCACCAATATACTTTTCACCCAGAGACTCTCCACCCAGAAACTCTTCTTGCACATACTTTTCACCAATATACTTTTCACCCAGAGACTCTTCACCTAGAAACTTTTCTTGCACATACTTTTCACCCATATACTTTCACCCAGAAACTCTTCTTGAACATACTTTTCACCCATATACTTTTCACCCAGAGACTCTTCACCTAGAAACTCTTCTTGCACATACATTTCACCCATATACTTTTCACCCAGAGATTCTTCACCCAGAAACTCTTCTTGCACAGACTTTTCACCCAGAGACTCTTCACCCAGAAACTCTTCTTGCACATACTTTTCACCCATATACTTTTCACCCAGAGACTCTTCACCCAGAAACTCTTCTTGCACATACTTTTCACCCATATACTTTTCACCCAGAGACTCTTCACCCAGAAACTCTTCTTGCACATACTGTTCACCCATATACTTTTCACCCAGACTCTTCACCCAGAAACTCTTCTTTCACATACTTTTCACCCAGAAACTCTTCTTGCACATACTTTTCACCCATATACTTTTCACCCAGAGACTCTTCACCCAGAAACTCTTCTTGCACATACATTTCACCCATATACTTTTCACCCAGAGATTCTTCACCCAGAAACTCTTCTTGCACAGACTTTTCATCCAGAGACTCTTCACCCAGAAACTCTTCTTGCACATACTTTTCACCCATATACTTTTCACCCAGAGACTCTTCTTGCACATACGTTTCACCCATATACTTTTCACCCAGAGACTCTTCACCCAGAAACTCTTCTTGCACATACTTTTCTTCGTGCACATGCTTTTAACCCATATACTTTTCACCCAGAGACTTTTCACCCAGAAACTCTTCTTGCACATACTTTTCACCCATATACTTTTCACCCAGAGACTCTTCACCCAGAAACTTTCTTGCACACACGTTTCACCCATATACTTTTCACCCAGAGATTTCTGCACAGAAACTTCTTCTGCAATATATTGGTCCACATCGGAGCCTCAATTTTACTTTTCACCATATTACTTTTCACCCATATACTTTTCACCCAGAGACTCTTCACCCAGAAACTCTTCTTGCACATACTTTTCACCCATATACTTTTCACCCAGAGACTCTTCACCCAGAAACTCTTCTTGCACATACTTTTCACCAATATACTTTTCACCCAGAGACTCCTCACCTAAAAACTTTTCTTGCACATATTTTTCACCCATATATTTTCACCCAGAAACTGTTCTTGCACATACATTTCACCCATATACTTTTCACCCAGAGACTCTTCACCCAGAAACTCTTCTTGCACATACTTTTCACCCATATACTTTTTACCCAGAGAATACTTTTCACCCAGAGACTCTTCACCCAGAAAATCTTCTTGCACATACGTTTCACCCATATACTTTTCACCCAGAGACTCTGCACCCAGAAACCCTTCTTGCACATACTTTTCACCCATATACTTTTCACCCAGAGACTCTTCACCCAGAAACTCTTCTTGCACATCAGTTCACCCATACACTTTTCACCCAGAGATTCTTCACCCAGAAACTCTCCTTGCACAGACTTTTCACCCAGAGACTCTTCTTGCACATACTTTTCGCCCATATACTTTTTACCCAGAACTCTTCACCCAGAAACTCTTCTTGCACATACTTTTCGCCCATATACTTTTCACCCAGGGATTCTTCACCCAGAAACTTTTCTTGCACATACTTTTCACCCATATACTTTTCACCCAGAGACTCTTCACCCAGAAACTCTTCTTGCACATACTTTTCACCCATATACTTTTCACCCAGAGACTTTTCTTGCACATACTTTTCACCCATATACTTTTCACCCAGAAACTCTTCTTGCGCATACTTTTCACCCATATACTTTTCACCCAGAGACTCTTCACTTAGAAACTTTTCTTGCACATATTTTTCACCCATATACTTTCACCCAGAGACTCTTCTTGCACCTACTTTTCACCCATATACTTTTCACCCAGAGACTCTTCACCCAGAAACTCTTCTTGCACATACTTTTCACCCATATACTTTTCACCTAGAGACTCTTCACCCAGAAACTCTTCTTGCACATATAATGGTCCCACATCGGAGCCTCAATTTTTCCATTGGTTTCCATCCCATCAATTTCCGTCATTTTACTCTTATTTTACTTGGCATCATTTTGGTCCCACATCAGAGCCGCAATTTGTCCAATATGTTTTCCATTGTTTTTCTCCACTTCTTCATCATAGTCCCTCGATTTTTGCATTGCTTTTCCATCGCTAATGGTCTCACATCGAAGCCACATTTTTTTCATTTTTTTCCATTGCTTTTCCATAGTTTTACTCCGCATCATTTTCCCCTCCATTCCAGTCTCCCCAGTGTTTTTTTCACAGTTTTTCCTCCAGTTTTACTCAATCGTCCCATAGTTTACGCTATCAATTTATCCTTCCATTTCATCAATTTTTCCAGTGTTTTGACATGGTGTTACTCGATTTCTCCATCATTACCCTTATGTTACCCCAGTGTGTCTAACGCTTACCCAAGTGCACCTTCCACAATCCCTACAGTTGCACCGTATAAACGGTTTTGCTCGTTTCTTCCATGGTTTTTTTTCCGTGCTTCTACTCCATAGTGGTCACACATCAAAACTGCAATTTTTCCATTGCTTTTCCATTGTTTCACGCGTGCTTTACCCGATAATGGTCCCACATCGGAGCCTCAATTTTACTTGGCATCATTTAATCATTTTACCCTCTCCCTATTCTTTCCACCGTTTCTCCTCGCGTTTTAATCAATTTTCCAAGCGTTCTACTCAAATGTTCCATTGCTTTCCCATTTTTTCCATTGTTTTATGTCAAAGTCCCTCCTTTTTTCCATTGTTTTTCTCATCATTTTCCCCTCCTTTCCCATTTTTTTCCCATTGTTTTGTGTCATATTCCCTCATTTTTTCTATTGTTTTTCTCATCATTTTCCCCTCCATTGCAATCTGCCCAGATCCACCTCGGAGGGCGGACCAGGGGGGAATCGATACCCCAACGTCACCCAATTGCCACCTGGTACATAACCCTAAAAAAGTTTACCTGTGGCCACCTTTTTTACCACCTAATTTCCTCATTTTTGTCCCTCTCGGGGCGCTCTGCCCCCAGACCCCCTTAACTCACTTTGTTCGCACAAATAACTTCGCCTAGCCTAGCGGCTGGCTTTCGTGAAAATGCGAATGGATGCAATGATCACAGACCATCCTGAACCGACGAAAAATAATGACACCATCCCACACACCATTTTTTTCCATCTGCTTCTGTGGCCGAAAACTGTCACATGCCCTAGGATGCAGTAGTGTTTGAAGGTGACACAAGGAAACATCAAGCAAAGCAGTGACCCCAAATGCAGCTAGCACATTCTCCCATCACATGTGCAAAGGGAGGGAAAAATGTCAAAGGATCGCTTATGAATAGGGCAGAAACGGAATACCTGAAAGTTGGGAAATACATCGAAAACGGCAAACGGGATACCTTGAAAAACTGATACATCTGCTCTTTTGCATCTCGGATCTCATTGGGCTATGCACCGACATTGGAACCAGCCCTGGACGGTCCGCCAGGGTCTTGCTGTTGCCCTCTTCCTCGCACTTCTGAAGTCAGCCTTCCGTTAATGCGTGACACAGGTATTGCAGCACTTGCTGCAGCACTTGCTAATTCCTTCCAATTAACTCAGCTGCGCTTTCTCCCTTAGTGCCTCCGCTGGAGCTGGAGGTATCAAATGTAGCTGCGATAAGGCCTCAATATAGCGTTGGCTCCTTGAGATGTGCCTTCTTGAAATCTTTGCCATCTCATCAAAAATGGTGTAGAATCAAAATTCTGTCACGTTTGACTGATACGTGGCCTCAGACTCTGGGAATACCACGCGCCTGTCATGATGTCAAGATTAGCTCTGACAGGTGCGCTGTGAATCTTGGACTGGGGTTCGAAGCAATTGGGTAGGGTAAGGTAGGGTATGGTTAGGGCCGGGTACGGTAATTGAGCAAGGTCTTCCCAATCAATTGAATATCTGATTTTGCTCACCCAGGAGTGAGGTTGGAAAATGTAACTTCTGATGACCGATGCAAAAAGTAACTTGGGGGATGCGAACTTTGAGCAGTGAGGGACACTATGTGAGCCAATGATTGAGCACTTGAGCAGTCACAAGCGATGAAGAGTCACTTTGCCTTGCACGGTAAGTGCGTTGAGGCCTGGAGCAAGGGAGTTGCCTTGGCGACGGTGCAAGTTGATGCGGTTCACAAACGAGATTCCGGAAGAAACTCAGCTGGATCATGTTTGTCAATTTGCTGATGATTGGGTTTTGGACCTCACCCTCATCATCTTGCTACGTAGGTTTCTGACAGCCAGGTTCAAGTGCAAAGCAAATCTAAAGTTCAGTAAATTTCATATCGGATCTTGTTTTGTTCCAAACAACATGTTTAGTCCACAAATCGAGTTTGATCAAGGGTACCCACGCAAGTGCATGCAATGAATAACATAGACAAACCAAGGCATTTTGAAACATGTTTTGATGTTTCATCACTAAGCCAAGCCTTTTGGAACCGCTAGCACTGGCATTCGCGCACTTCATCGCACAATGCCAAATGAACATATCGTCATGTGAATGCTGCAAAAGAGTGTGAAAAAATAATGCCCACATTGGCACATTAACCTGCCTTCGTGATCGATTACTATCTGCCCATTTTACACCCTTGCACACGGCGACCTGTTGCAAATCCTGGTGTTCAATTGATTCAATTCATTGGGCACCAAACATATAAGAATGAGAAAAGGTTGCCCATGAAGTTGTCTGAAATTCATTGCGGCCACGTGTGCGCTCCGGACCGTGGAAACACAGGGTGATCAAAACCAATGAGCTTGGGGCTTTGAGACTTTGCCGCTGCGGTGCGAAACAGACTTGCGGCTGACAGTCTGAGGAGCATAGGAGAACATGTCGAAACAGTTTGTAATTACTAGGTTCCGTGTATTTGTTCCTTTTTCAGCCCATTGGCACATGTTTTATTTAGACACTCTGCTTAATTTGTTTTTCCCAGATTCCAAACTTGCAAAAGAATTTGGCCAGACCTCACTGGAATTAGTAGACATCATGAGTGATTTGGACGTCCTTTCCACTGGCTGCAACATATCACGTTCAAACAAGATTTTGCACCAAAGCAGCACAAAGCACCACAGCAGCATATGTGCCCTGTTGTGATATTTTCAGATATACGTACACATTGCATGTACACGTCCATTTCGGAAGACATTTACAGCTCTTACATGCATATATGTGTCGTAGTTAGAAGTAATGAAATCTGGTGGAGCTGCTGCGCCATGATCTACCTCTTTCTCGCGCCTGACAATGTTCAAAGGGGTTCTGAGGGAACAAATTTGATGTCCTCCTTGAACCCTAACGTTCAAAGTGCACCACGTTAGTACCGAGGCCGTCTGAAGAACCGATGATCTCGCTGCTGGAGTCGCTGACCGACGTGGCCCTCCGTGAAGAGATCCACCTGCGACGGCATCTCTTTACTCTATCATACTCAAATAGTTAATATATAGCATTATATAGCTATAAATGCATGTTTATACGATCATTTACCATAAGATATTCATATATTACTACTGGTTACTATTCAAAAATACAATCACAAAAACATTTCCCGAAACCTCCCGAAACCATGCTCAGACTAAGCTGCGTGCTTCAAGTCCAATAAGGTCTCCACCACCAACTTTGCGTCGCCAGTCTTGGATGAACGAACGGGTTTGACCTTCGTAAGATTTCATATGATTTCGTAAGCATCAAAGTTCCAGTTTCTGCTCGGGCCCGGGCTGATGAATTGACGACACACTGTCATATTTTTTGACAGAGACTCCTCCCGGACCTTTCAGAATAGTGAAACTGCGCCACGGAGTCCAAGGTTATCACCCTGTAGAACTCCCAACCAACTCCTGTACCATCACTGATTTGAACGCTTTCGGCCTAACGCAGCTCCCAGGATAGCCAATACAGCCGAGGTCGCCGGAAGAGGGAAATCCCGGCCTCATCGACCAGGTACGGCGTTACGCCAATATCCGCGCTCATTGTAGCACGGTCCTTTGCATCCATCGAGAAATCACTTTCCATGAAGTAGTGCACCTGAGCCCATCTGAAGTGCTTCTTGCATAGTTCGTAAACCCGACCGACATGGACGAACAACTTGCTACGCGCATCCTTCAGCGCGCCCTTCCGGTCGGAATTCAATCCGGAGACGCCCTGGCAAGGAGGTCCACCCCCTACCAAGACAACCCCGGCATTTGAGAACTTCAAGGCCCAGCCAAGCACCATGTTTTTCGAGATGCCGGCCACGTCTCCCACGGCAATGGTGTCCGGGAAGTTGCCACTCCAGCACTCGAGAGCCCTCAACGGAGACCTCTGCACTGATATGGCCTCCCATGGGGAGCTGAGGCCCATCAGCTGCCACTCGAAGGGCTCCCACGCCGTCGAACAACCCCACCGTCAGTACTTGAACAAAGTCCTCCAACTCGGGCATGTCCCCTCGCACACTGCATTGCGCCGCGTGGACTCCCATCGGCGTGAGGCCCCTGCTGACGCAGAATCCTCCACCCGTCTCAGAGGCGTCACTTGCTGTCACGCCCCCGAGCACCGGAGTCCTCAGGTTCATCTGCGCAAGTGGCAAGGCACACAAGAACCGGCAAACCTCAAACTTGACCGACTGCGGCAGTTCCTTGCGCACCACAGGAGGCTCTGAGCTAAGCCCCACCACGAAGCTCCACACCTTGTTCAGCATTCCCAAGAGGGGCCGCCTGAACATGCTGCAGTAGACCAAACCGCCGCACACAATTTGTAGCTGCTTTTGACTCGCTCTCCCATCCTTTAGGAGACTCCAGGCAAGCTCGGCGTACTTCAAGACCTTGTTCGGCTTTGGCTTTACCATGCCGGTAACCCCGTCCACCACCGCACCTTGAATCTCTGCAATGGTCTCCTGCTGGACGGCCTTTGTTGGATGACGTGGCAAACCCCAATGTTGGTAGCCACCCCGGAGGGCCAACACTTCAACCGACACCTCCCCACGCACCCTCGCAGCCATCAAGGGATCCATTTGCTCAAGCGCGTCAAAGTTGTCCAAGTAGATCCTGTAGACCCACTGTGCCACTGTGAAAGGCTTGTCCTTTCTCAGCTCACACTGTGGGCCCAGGCTGGGCTGCAACCCATGCAGCGACATCCTTGCAATGCGACGGTGGACGAGTTACGCCACACTGACTGAGTTAAGGAACCCCATTGGCAAGACCCTGCTAGCAAGGTAGTGGGGCTCATCGACACCATCACCCACCACATGCTGCGGGACTGGCTTGTTGAAAGCCATGAATGGATGCCATGACACCGGGACCTCAAACAAATAGAAAAAGCATCTAATGTCTTCCGAGGACATCACTAACTCCTGCTCGTCCGCCAGCAGGTACGGTGTCATACCAGCCCATGACGGAGGTGTAGAGATATCACCACCCAGGTTGCGACACAATTTGTTGACGGGCACCAAGTTCATGATTAACCTGAAGGTTTCCCAAGGTCCACAAATTCGTCTTTACTGACGCCGAACAAGCCGCTTAGCAACAACTGGCTTTTAACCCTAAAAACCTTGCTATGAGGTAGGAGCACACAAACTCCCTTGGAGATCAGCCCAGTGCAAATCTCCCCCCAAGAACTTTCATCGGCCATCACCCGCGGTGGCTTTGTGTAACCCTGGCATCTTCTGGCAACAAATAGCCTTCGAATCTTGTAATAAAATCCAAAGTTCCCAAATCACAGACCTCACAAAGTGGTATGCTAGCGATACCCTGCGGTAAAGCAGGCTCCAAATTTTCCCCCTTGCAACTCCGTAGTAAGAGTTCAACGCACTGCACAATGCCTGCAAGACTACCACGCGTTCGGCTGAGAGATGACCAACCTGTGAAGAAAGAACCGTAAGGTTTTCAGGTAAAGGAAAAACTTCACCTGAGCACTGGACCCTGCTATGAACAAAATCCGAACCAGCACGAAAAAAGGAAAACATCTGATGAAATTGGCCAGCCATCTCAGCAAAGCTCTTGCCCTCAGGAGAAACTCTAAAATGCCCCACCCCCTCGGCACCGGTCGGCGCGTGTGGGGGCGTATGAAAAATTGGGTCACCATCAGTGTCAGGAAAACGGGAAGGCCCGTTATCTTCCCCATCTCCCCCAACTACCGGAGATGCTGTACTATCTCCCCTCATAGCCGCACTCCATTGCTGTGCCTCTCCGGAGTCTTCCAACTCCCAACCATCGCCTCCGGAGCCAACCAGCTCCCCTTCACGCATACCGGAGCCAGCAGACTCCCCTCCATTCCGCCCCATAAGACCTATAGGCGGTTTCCACACAGAACCGTGTCCACGCACCCAGGGTCAACATTCAGGGCTAGCCTCTACTTCTTCTCTCGATCCTCTTTGCTGACTCCTCCTTGAGCTTGACGATCGCCTTTTCCCTTTAACTTGCCTTTGTCCTTTGTCTTGCCTTTTCCCTTTGGCTCCTCTGATCTCTCCTCCTACTCGGGTTTCTTTTCCCAGGGGCGGCTTGAAAGGCTCTTTGCCTTCAACTCCTCGCGCTGAATCCTGCTGGCCTCCAGTGCTTCTGTTGCTGTTGTCATCTGATGGAAGTCCAGCGGCACCAACTCCTGCCTCTGGGCGATGCTGTAGTGTCCTCCAGCTGAGATCTGTTCCAGACCTTTGAGCCTCTGGGTCACCACGTCGCACGCAGCTGCCACCTTGCCGGGCCGCTCATCTTGCTCTGCAAGGCCAGCTTCCAATACTGGCTGAAAATTGGAGGCAGAGAGCTACGGTCCAGGTCCCACATCTGGCCGGACGTGGTGACCACCGCCAGCTGCATCTGCTCCAATGTATTCAACGTCAACGCCCCCGCGGGCTCTTCCTCCATATCTTTTTTACTCGAACTTCTTCTCCGAATAGCCGAGCGCCGTCGGCCTCGGAGCTGCCGGTATCTGATGTCACCGACGAGCTCCCTGACGAGCCCGTTGACTCCTTCTTGCTTCTCCTCTTTGTAAGGCGCCTTGCTCTTCTCCTGATTCTCCTCCGCACCTCCGCTTTGGGTCGAGAGCAGTTGTGGCAAAGAGGGCTGCCGGGCTCTTCGTCCCGACAACCCTCACCTTGTCCTTCTTCTTCTTTTTCTTCCGCTTCTTCTTTGCGTCTTCGGAGCTTCCGGACAAGGTGTCCTCTTGAGGCTCCCCAACTCCTTTGTCGTCCTCTGTCCTCTTCCGCTTGGCAAGCTCTTTTTCTCGCAACCGGAGCCTCCGCAACTCGTCCTCGGCTCCCATCGGAGTTTCTGCAGCCACCAGATTGTTCATCCAAGCTGCCCTTGTAGAATCCAGCACCTTCTGCACCACCTGGCAATGAAGCAGCCCGTCTTTTGAAGTCAGACTGCAACCCGGTTGGCAGATGTCCACCTCCAAGGCTACTCCAGGATGGCTTCCAGACCACTTCACCAAGCTCTCGTTCTTGGTACCTTCCAGTCTGAAACTCAAGGTGACCTGGTCCTTCTTTGTAGCTAGCCCTTCTACTCGGCCCGCTACCTGAACCTCCTCCTCCCAGTAAATGCCCTTCGTGATGGCGATATGCGTCCCAGTCTTCCATGTTTCCAACGGCAGTTTATAGGCCTCTACTGCCTCTCCGCGTTGAAAAATCTCGGAGTCTCCTTCGACTCCCGGTGTCTCCTCCGCAGCACTTGCGGGCCTCCTCACACCAGCCTTTGCTCTGGCAAGTGCCTTCGCACCAGCTCCTCCTCTGACGGCCCTGTGGCCAATTGGACCAGCACCAGCTGGTCTCCTCAACGCTGTCTTGGGTGGCATTAATGCTGCCTCTTGGCAGCAATACGTCTTCTGTTGCGCTTGAACCTCTTCTGTTGTCTCTTTTCTTCACTCCTTTGCTTTTCTTCTTCTTCTTCTCTGTTGGAATCCTCCTTTCAATGGATGGCCTCTCCTCTTGCCTACGACGATTCGGGATAGACCAGCTGAATGTGCTCAGCTGGGAACTCGTCCGACACCAGGAGGCACTGCAGTCGGAAGAGGGCGACACACACGTTGCACCTCAATTCCGCTACTGCCCGCCCAAATTTTCCTTGGCACGTCAGACACCGGAGAGGCAGCTCTCCCATCAGCTGAAGCCGAAACTGCAGGCAAAGACAGGTATGGTTCACCCTTATCCCCGTGGCCGTAGGAACATATACACATATGTGTATATATAATTATAATTAATTATATATATATATATACCTATACCTGACCCAACTCCAGTAAAGTCACGTGGAAAAACCAGTAGGTGACCATTACAGTGAAGCTTGCCCAAGTGTTTTCCTCATCATGTCAATGTCAAGCCAGGGTTGACAACCACCCCAGTTTATTGATCTGGGGAACACACATGAAGTGCTGGGAAATCAGATGGTTGGTGGGAACATTCGTTCAATCTACCATTTGGTTATTTAACATAGCTATGGAAAATCACCATGCTATTAATAGGCAAACCATCTATTTCTATCGGCCATCTATACCATGGCTATGTTAGTCATAGCCAGAGGGTATCCACCTATGTGTAGAAATAAATATGCTTGCGGGTGATTTTCTAGCCAGCCTGATTTACAATCGATCACAATCCACTATTGACAAATGACTTCCCTGGTGTGCTTTCCAATGATTTTCCGCATGTACAGAAGTGTTTGTCTAAAAAGGCGGGTACAACTACAGTAAATCATGTTAAACCTGTCACTTTACTAACATGTTCCGTATCAAAACTACCCGTTTGGGGCATCCCAATCATTGATGTCCTTTCACGACTGACTGGTTGATTTTGTATAAATATTACTGGTTGGTGGTTGAGCCTATCCCTCTGAAAAATGATGGAGTTCGTCAAATGGGAGTATTCTTCCCAACTGAATGGAAAGTCATAATCCATTCATGTTCCAAACGACCAACCAGAATTAGTATACCAAAGCGGCTTCTCGATTTTTTCTAAAAAACAATAGTGATCCTGTCAGACACTGCCGCAATTTTCTGACCAGGACACTCGATGAAGCCGTGCTTCACGGTGCCACTCCAGATCAAGCCTTCCAGAAGAGCGCTGGTGCCGAAATAGCCCAGGTTCACCTGGTGGTTGTGACATGCAAATTCCCACAAGATCATGGGAAGATCATGAGAAGATCATGAAAAAATCATGGGAAAATCATGAAAAAAACATCGGCAGATGAGGAAAAAACATTATATAAAATGCAGGTTTAAGGGGAATTGTTTGGATGCTCCATTGCTTTAGCAGAGGCTAAGTCATTCATGGGGTTTTCATAGAATCCAACTGGTGGTGTCCCATGGGGTGAATACCATCCCCCCCACAACAGTTGGGTCATCCAAAACACAAGGGGATTTTTCCATCAAAAAACTCCATTTCTATGGGCGTTTCCCAATTTTCATATGGTTTTCCCATTGTTTTAATCCAAAGCTCATGGCTAATTGAGGATTACCATCCCCCAAACACGAGAATCACCCACTATTGAGGGAAGTTGTTTTCCAACTATGTGAGTTGGGCAAATGGTCAGAACCTCCAAACTGTTTGAGAAACCCGAAATAATGAAAGTAGTCAAAATATGGATGTGGTTAATAGTATGCTCCGAGTGTGATTCAGAACCCCAAAATAAGACTATATCATACAGTACTATATATATATACACACATATATGATGTATATAGTATATACCTGATCTTTTTATTGGCTTTTCGCTCCACCACAGCCTCCAAACAGCTCCAGAACGCCGCCCAGTCACTGCGATGTAAGGCCCAAGGCCCCAGCAGAGCCAGTCCCTGTCCAGCCATTGTCGCAACGTCTTTTCCATGGCGCCCGGTGCACGGAAAGACGTGGATTTATATAAGCCCTGGAATGTGGAAAAAAAAACCTGGCAGGATGATCATCTATTCCTCCACGGTGAGGGTATTTTTGTATAAGCAGATGGGGGGCATGATGCCAATCATGGAGAATTCCCGGGCCATCGTGGCCACCATTTTTTGTGATTTCTTGCCGATCCTGACGCCGCTTTCACAATGCTTCACCTATATTCGACATGGTCCCAACCTCCGAGCCAGCTTCTTGAGAATCACTGGATTGGTGGGAAAAGCTTCACCGGAAACCCATGGTTTTCCCAAGAAAGATGGGGGGGGTTCCTGTAATTTTGGTTCCCTTCTCCAGAGAAAACATCCGAAGGTTCTCTCCTCAACCTCGACCAGCGCCGAATAATGGCCATAGCCGTGGAAGAGGACGCGGATGGTCTTGGTCTTAAACTCCTTGAAGTAGGCTGGCTGGAGATATCATGGGGGAAAATCCTCGGGAAAACCATTGGTAGGAAATCTCCGAGGGAAGTTCCCCGGTGTCAGACAGCTCCATGGCTGTTGATTGCTGGGAAACCTTTAAGGGAAATCGCGAGGAATGTGTGAAAATCATTGTGAAATCCTTGGGAAAATCATGAGGAGAATGGGGAAAAACATTGGGAGAACCATGGGAAAATAGTTTGCTTCGAGATCATGGGAAAATCATCGAACTGCATGGGAAAAACATGAGATCATATGAGATACACAAGAGATTCTACAATGTGAGGCCCCCAAGATAGCGTTAAGTTGGCTCACATAACTCCAATTTCACTATGGTTTAGGGTATTTATAACGAACTAGTTACTGGGGCGAATCTAAACCAACAAACATATCTTCGGGGCCTCACATTGTATGGTATAATTCATATCAAATCGGATACTAAGCTACACTAAGTGCCATAGAAAAAAATAGTGCCAAACCATGGGATCCGCCACAAAAAATGAGGTGCCCAGTGAAGTGATGTGAACGTTGGTGAACATAAGGCAGTTCGTTTTTGTCTGCCAATATATCATGATATATCATGATATATCATGTTTGTTGGTTTATAAACGGGAAATTGGAGTTACCCGGCCTGGTAAACTTTCACATAACGAACTGGAAACTCACCATGCTATTAATGGGTAAATCAACGAACTAAATAGCAATTTTCAACAGCAAACTGTGAGTTTACCAGAGGGTATATCCCATTAAATCCCATTTAATCTCATTAAATCCCATTAAACCACTAATTTCCTATGGTTTTCCTATGGTTAGTTTACTAGAGGGTATGTTCACCAACTTAACGCTACGAACTCTCCATCACTCCAGGCAGGTAGATTGGTCGCGGCGAGCCGGCCGTCCCCTCGCGTCCTGTCCGTAGGTCTGAACCTTCTTCAGGTTGGGTGTCAACATGTAAACCTGGCGAAGGTCAAAGATTCTGGCTGCAGCTTCGAGCTTGCATAGTTGAGATCTTATAACCCATTATTATTACTTATATTCATTGATAATTAAAACTATTAGATACTATTCGGTTATGTATTAATTGATATAACCATAATACCATAGGTTGTATTTATTCATTGATATAACTTATTATAACTATGGTTTGTGATTTTACCATGCTCTGTTGCAGTAGAAAAAAGTCAAACTGACTGTCACGCTTTGGAAAAAGCCTCAAAACTATGGTTGTGAATGGCTACAACCTCCAGATCCTCTACAGGATGAGGCCCCCAAGATAGCTAAGTTGCCTTAGGAAGGGGCTGAATTCTATGGTTTATGGTAGATATAGCTATAGTTAATGGGGATGATAAGGGTTTATAAACCAACTTATAACTATGGGGCCCGATCCTGTAGGAATTGGGATATAACTGATATAACCTCTGTAACCATGGTGAAATATATCTACAGAGGTTCCCTGAAACTGCATTCCCATGTCATGAAATGTCATGGAAATGTCATTTCCAACGCCCTCATCAGCCTCCAACTATGAGGGGCTTATTCACATATCCGCCGACCCCAGCAATCTGCAGGGGGAGCGCGCCCGAGAAAAAGCTTTTCCAGGATTCTGGGCGCTTTCCAAGAGCTTTTCTAGTGGCTTCAGAAAGCAACGTTAGGCACTAGCCTGCCTCCAAAGGCCTCGCGGCGCCCTTGCCACGCTTTCCTGGAGATTTTCTTCTGGTTTCAGAAAGCAACGTTAGGCACTAGGCTGCCGCTAAACGTCTCCCGCGCCCTTGGCGCCCTTGGCCACCTGCCGGGCGCTTTCCTGGAGATTTTCTTCTGGTTTCAGAAAGCAACGTTAGGCACTAGGCTGCCCCTAAACGTCTCCCCGCGCCCTTGGCCACCTGCCGGGCGCTTTCCTGGAGATTTGCTTCTGGTTTCAGAAAGCAACGTTGGGCACTAGGTTGCACCGAAACGTGTCCCGGCGCCCTTGGCGGCCCAGCAGCGTGTTCTTTGGCGACCTGCCGGGCGCTTTCCAGGAGATTTTCTTCTGGTTTCAGAAAGCAACGTATTAGGCACTAGGCTGCACCGAAACCTGGAGATTTTCTATATTTTCTTCTGGTTTCAGAAAGCAACGTTAGGCACTAGGTTGCACCGAAACGTGTCCCGGCGCCCTTGGCGGCCCAGCAGCGTGTCTTTTGGCCACCTGCCGGGCGCTTTCCTGGAGATTTTCTTCTGGTTTCAGACAGCAACGTTAGGCACTAGGTTGCACCGAAACGTGTCCCGGGGCCCTTGGCGGCCCAGCAGCGTGTCTTTTGGCCACCTGCCGGGCGCTTTCCTGGAGATTTTCTTCTGGTTTCAGAAAGCAACGTTAGGCACTAGGTTGCACCGAAACGTGTCCCGGGGCCCTTGGCGGCCCAGCAGCGTCTCTTTTGGCCACCTGCCGATCGCTGTCCTGGAGATTTTCTTCTGGCTTCAGAAAGCAACGTTAGGCACTAGGCTGCACCGAAACGTGTCCCGGTGCCCTTGGCGGCCCAGCAGCGTGTCTTTTGGCCACCTGCCGATCGCTGTCCTGGAGATTTTCTTCTGGTTTCAGAAAGCAACGTTAGGCACTAGGTTGCACCGAAACGTGTCCCGGCGCCCTTGGCGGCCCAGCAGCGTGTCTTTTGGCCACCTGCAGATCGCTGTCCTGGAGATTTTCTTCTGGTTTCAGAAAGCAACGTTAGGCACCAGGTTGCACCGAAACGTGTCCCGGGGCCCTTGGCGGCCCAGCAGCGTGTCTTTTGGCCACCTGCCGATCGCTGTCCTGGAGATTTTCTTCTGGTTTCAGAAAGCAACGTTAGGCACTAGGCTGCACCGAAACGTCTCCCGCCGCCCTTGGCGGCCCAGCAGCATGTCCTTTGGCGACCTGCCGGGCGCTTTCCAGCAGATTTTCTTCTGGTTTCAGACAGCAACGTTAGGCACTAGGCTGCACCGAAACGTGTCCCGGCACCCTTGGCGGCCCAGCAGCGTGTCCTTTGGCGACCTGCCGGGCGCTTTCCAGGAGATTTTCTTCTGGTTTCAGAAAGCAACGTTAGGCACTCGGCTGCACCGAAACGTCTCCCGGCGCCCTTGGCGGCCCAGCAGCGTGTCCTTTGGCGACCTGCCGGGCGCTTTCCAGGAGATTTTCTTCTGGTTTCAGACAGCAACGTTAGGCACTAGGCTGGAAGACAGGTCAGAGAGCTAGTTTTCTTGTCGATTCAGAAAGCAACGTTAGGCAGGCGGCTGGAAGACAGCTCAGAGAGCTAGTTTTCTTGTAGGTTCCGAAAGCAACTTTAGGCAGTGAGAGCCGTGGCCCGCAGGCCCGGTCCGTCCCTCAGGGCCCTGCTGTTTTGGTGTGGTGAAGGCGCCGTTTGTGAGGCTTTTGGCGGCAGGAAGACAGCTCAGACAGCTAGTTTTCTTGTAGGTTCTTTGATTTCAACTTTCATACAAATGGTTTGTTTAAGTCAGTTTCTGGTTTCTTTAGAGTTCATTTCATGCTTACGACACAGAGGCAGGCATGACCCTCCAGTGTCCAGGGGTCGGCGGCAGAGGGCGTAGCCCTTTAATTTATTATGTACTGTATTAACCATTATTCACATTTATTAAGCATCTATCTGGGTAAATTCTAATATGTCACTAACCTGAATATTTCGGCCATTTATTTGGAGATGATTTCCTCTCAATCTAACCATGATTCCAGGCTTCGGGAGGACAGGGTTCGGTCGTGATCAAATTTACCCAGATCTATCATTGGCGAAGTAAAATCTTTCCATTTTTCCCCATGCTCACCTCGATGGGACGCTGGAGCACCTTGGAGAGCCTCGGAGATGGTGGTTTCACATTGGAAACGTTGGAGAAACTGCTTGGGTTTTGGGGATGATGGGGGGATGTGGGATGGAGATGGTGGTTTTCGATGTCATGAGTGTGTGATGATTTGTACATGATAACCAAACATGATCGGGGATTGTTTGATGGTTTCGAGTGTGTGTTTAACCATCGATGGATTTTCACTGTACAGATGTTTCATGATTTCAATGGATTGGTTTAAGGGAACATTTTACAAGAAAACCATAGATTTTCCCATGAAGATCATGGGGTTTTCCATTAAAATTTCTAGAAAAACCCATGATCTTCATGGGAAAATCTATGGTTTTCCTGTTAAGGTTTTCCCTTAAACCAATCCAGATTTTTCAGGATGGAAACATATGGATTTCACCTACGTAAAACCATCAGAGAAACGAGGGGTGAAAGTCGGAGCCTAGTGAAAGACCGGGGATTTGACTGGGAAACACGTAGTGAACAAGAAACACATGGGAATATATATAGGAAATGTATGGTTTTACTATGGTGATTTATGGGAAATGACTATGATGTATGAAAGATACCCTCTGGTAATTTGTTACGGTTTGCGAACTGGAAAATTGCCCATTTAGTTCGTTGATTTACCTATTAAAGTTGGTGATGTTCCATAGTTTTTTGTATGTTTACCAGAGGGTAACAAAACTTTGGAAGCAACAACTATCGTCAATTTGCACACCATGCCAAAGAAATGACCCTCTGGTAAACGCTTACAGTTTGCTATTGAAGC